ATTTTGATGTATTTATATTTTGAGTACGAACATATGTTTTTATTCGGCCATAGAGTTTTAATTTATTTTAATTTAGTCCTCATTTCTTGCTTATTTTTATTTTAGCACTTAATATTGAAAATGTTTATTTTAGTCCCTTGTATGTTTTTGTTGTATTTTAATTATGGCATGCTAGTTTGACTATTTATGATTTAAGTCATATTTTCATGTTTTTAAATTTTTGCATGTTGTTTACATTTAGTTCATTTTAGTACTAATAAAGATCACATGATACCCTCATCAGCATCACTGGACTCGATTCAAAATAAATTGACTAAGGGTAATATCGAGCATTTTAATATCATCATAAAGTGACTGTCTTAACGGATAAGAAATTTACTTTCGCTAATTTTAAAATGAAAGTCTATCCCGTCAAGTGACACCAATTAAATCGAATCCATTTTATAAAATTCGAGGATTGAGGAAAAGATCGTATTCTTTTAATTAAATTCATCGAGAAAAGACAGTTAGATCGAATATATTGTCTCGTCTCAAGATATTTAATTAATTGAATATCCTTATTCTCATTAAATATTGGTAAAATAAATAATTAATTAATTGCTTGATATGCTATTTTTATTTTACTTTTGCATGTGTTTTCAAAAAAATAATGTTCGATAAAAAATAATTAAATATTATTATCTTCTCTCTAAAATTATTTTGGGTGTTATTTTTTTGAAATTTAGAATGGAATTTTAATATTTTTTTATTTCGATTGGAGTAAGAATCGATTGCTTCAAGGTATGATAGATCGGTTCTTCTTGATAAGAAATAATTAAATATTATTATCTTTCATCCAAAATTTCGAAAAATGTTATTTTAGGGGATCTTAAATTAAATTAGACTCGAGCTCGTACATTTTATTGCAAAGACAATTAATTAATCGACTAGGTACCGATTTAGGGCGTTGTGGGGGTGCTAATCCTTCCTCACACGTAACCGACTCCCGAACTCAAATTTTGGTAACTCAGACCCCAATTTTGTCTTTTTAATTAAATTAATATTTTATTAAAATGACAAATATATTTTTGGGTGCCCAATCACACCCTAATCAAATATTGGTGGTGACTCCTCGAACTACATTTTATCACTAACCGATCGATCCAAGAAAATCATTTTCAAAACGGGACCACCCCTTTTCTCCCCCGAAAAAAGACTGTTTCGATATGAGGTATTATGTCTGATGAAACCTCGATCAAGTAATTCCTAAAACTGAACCTTTAACTCCTTAAGTTCCTTTGGGGCCATACGATATGGTGCCATAGAAACAGGTGCATAACCCATATATGTTTCAATCTCGAACTCCACCTCTCCATCTGGAGGTAATACTGTCCTCAGGAAAGAGATCGGGAAACTCGCTAACTGTATGAAGCTCTTCAATCTTGGACCACAAGCCTTTAGTGTTCAAGATACAGACAACGAAAGTCTCATATTCCTTCTGGATCATCTGATCGACAATCAAAGTCGATATTATATTAGAAAAATAGCCTCGACGCTCCCTAACTAGCACAACAATCCGACCATCAAAAGTCTTCATAGTAACTCTCCTGTACTAGTAATCCAGATTGACCCGATGTTTATTCAACTAGTCCATCCCTATAATCATATCAAACTCCTCTAAAAGAAGTTCCATAAGGTCGACAAGGAAAAATTCACCTTGAACCTCTAGAGGATATCTCCTTAATACCATATTCACAACCATTGACTATCGTACTAGAGTCATAACAGTAATTGCACTCTCGGTGTCATCTATCAGAATTTGAAGGTCTCGGGATACCGAACTCAAAATATAGGAGTAGATGGAACCATTGTCTTGTAATGTAAAATATGGAACATAATAAATCTATATGCCCTGGACACTGATCTGAGAGTCTTTACCTGGCTACGACATTTATATGGTGTCTGAACTGAAGCCAACGAACGTACAAGAGTCTGAGTAGTTGTCTTCTCTATCGAAGCTAGATGTGGACAGTCCCTTCGAAAATGACCACTAGATCAACAATGTTAGCAAGCACCCGTCTTCCTACGATACTCTCCTCCATGTCGATTTCCACAAAAGTCACAAACAGGCACTTGGGGAAAACTTGATGAACCACCTCAACTAACAGTTGGGGGTGAAGGTGCTACAGGCCTGGAACTGGTATTACTCCTATGGGGGGCCAAAGTATGAGTCCTCTTCTCAGGACATGTCGAAGATTTGGCCTGACCGAAAGACCTCGTAGGCTGCTCCTGATCTACTCGATCTCTAATCGGAGCCAATGCCTCCACTTCCTCAGCATCATTCGCTCTACCCACTAAAACATCAAAAATATCATTCTAATGGGTCACAACCTGCCTATTTAACTCATATATGAGTCCTAAAGCAAACTTACGGTATATATCCCTCTCAGTGGGAACCAAGCTAGCACCATACTTCAACAGCTTCAAAAATTCCATCTCATACTCGAAAACTGACATATCTCCCTTTACCAGTCATAAAACTGTTGTCGTCTCTCAGCTAAATAACGTTCTCCAAGGAAACACTTACTAAAGTGGTCTTTCAAGAAATCCCACGTCAGACGATCAATGGGAACACTGCTCACTACTGACTCCCACCAGTTGTGGGCATTCCCGTCTAGCATCGAGATACCTCCTAGATACATCTTTGATGGATCCAAACCCAGATGATCTATACATCTCTATGTATTACAGAGCCAATTTTCTACTTCAGTAGGAGCTCCGCCAATCGATCCTCCAAAAATCCTGACCTCATTAGCGATTAAGGTTTGAGTAATCAAGACTTCAGGTACGACACCAAAAACTCTGAATACACCTTGAATTAGCTGTAAATACTGCCTTCTGAGAGTCTCATCTAACACTACACTCGTAAGCTCAACACCAGCGGTTAGAGCTCCCCTAATAGGTGTCGTCATATCTATAATAAGGGCAGGCGGTGGATCAACCATAGGATCATGGATCGGGTTAGCGATCCTTGTAACTCGACCTCACCCTTGGCCTGGCCAACGACCTCGTCTAGCACTCATAGAGAAGGATCTCAAGGATCATTATATAAGAGTTAAACTTAGGGTTAAATTTTGCACTTTGAGTAGCAAACACAATTAATCTTCTAAAAATGGGTTACATGGCCTTACAGGAATTTGTAAAACAATTTCAAAATAGTGTTTTTATTTATTTATGACTCATTCACAGTTCGGAGTTTAAAAACCAAAAACTCTGATACCAAATAAACTAACCCCCTATACTCAACCTATACGTTACGACTAGATCTAATGAATTACGTTAATGATTTCAAAATAACTTAAATCATAGTAATATTAAATAAGTTAGAACAAATAATATAAGACATAAAATATTAAGTGTATAACAAAATATGGAATGTCGAAAGTAAACCATAAACTAAATATCCTAATAACCTGGTTCAGTCTAATTAGATCAGTTCAGTTTAATTGGACCGATTCCACAAGGCTCTTGGACTAATGAAGGAGCCGTAGGCGTACTTCCGGCATGTGGTGGAGTGTGAGACAACGGGAAGGGTCGGGTTGGTCGACCGAGCACTATGATTGCAACCTAGTCGTCAAATAACTCGAACCCATCCAAAAATCAAGCAAAACCGAGAGAAAAATTAACCAAAAATTAAAACCAATCTTACCAACGCCGGTGACGAAGAAAACGAAAACAACGTTACAACCCAAGGGTTGGGTTTCGAGTGCACGAGGATAGTGAATCCAGATACGATAGCAGTGAGGAGAGCAAGTGCCTAGATTGACGGCAGTCGTCGAAAATAGCTGCACGATTTAGGATTTTTGTCGCACATTCGAGCGTTGATTTTGCGACGAATGGCGGCGTTACTTAGTGCGATGGTGTTCTAGTTTTGGTCGTCGATCGACGACGAGTCGAATTGAGGTGATAGTGGCGGTTATAGAGGTTAAACGACGGTGAATCGAGGTAGAGAGGGTGATAGCTGATAGGGATTGGGGTTGGAAAATTTTGGAATTTATAGGTGCTATAACTCGAGTTTTAAACGTTAAAAATAGTATTATATTGAAAATATCACAAACAGTACCCTAACTTAAACGACTAAGGCATGGGCGACCTTACCCGGGGACAAGGGTTTGAAACCCCTCAGCCACCTAATCCAATTTTTTTAATTTTTTTCTCTACCTACAAAAAAGGGAAAATTTAGGGCTAAGTCCCTAAACTTCCTATAGATTCAAAATCGAGCTGCTAGCTTCGAAAAATTACAATTTAGTCCTTAAAATTTTCATTTTTTATTTTTATTTTTATTTTAAAATGGAGTTGTGAAAAATCTTATCAAGTCATAAGTTTTATTACAGATGTACATTGTAAGACTGCTCAAGCTTATTAAATCATATAATTGATTAATATTCATTGATGGAAGGTTTTTATCAATAACTTCTTTTACTTTATGGTAGATTTCAATTATCCAATTATTGCTTGATTCGGCAATATCACTAAAAAGGAGTAGATTGATGAAATATTTAAATATTAAGGTTAAGATTTATTGAATTGTTTTGAATTATAACTAGATTGACAACATGTATAAGTTTTGGCTATACCATATCATATTAGACTTTCATTTTAATTTTAATGACCTATAATATTATTTTTATTGAGTAACTAGATTATAGTTTTAAAGCTCGTTAAAATGTGACCTATTTATTCAATTTATAAATTGATAACTTAAGAAATATTTAAACTTAATTTTTGATTTCAATTCATGATAGATTGAATATTTTAAACTAAATATTTTAAAAAACATACAAAAATTAAAAGATTATATTAAATAACAAAAAGATTAAAATAAATTTTTATTGTAGTACAAATATTTTTAACCCAATTTGAAGACGTAAACAAACCTTATTGAGAAAACATGAAGAAAGGCCCCAAAAACTGGAAAAGCTTTTCCAAGTGGGACAACAGCAAAACAAAGAAAACAGAAAAAGAGCAACCAAGACAGTACTTTGCTTTATATATGTCATAATTATGGATCAAATGTTGATCAGAATCTTGACACAATCGGGTTGCTTCGTCAACTCAAAAGCCTTGGTAGCGTCTTCCAGCTTAATCTCGTGAGTCAAAAGTTCATCAAGCTGGATTTCCTTTTCACGAACAAAACAACAAAAATCAAAACATTTATGATTTTCATAGAATGTGAATGAGTGAAAAAGATATGGACTAGCTGATACGATGCACGCTTACTTTGTTTTTAGATTTTTCGTATATGATTGGAAGGTCGGATCTGGCTTTGAGCCCTCCGAAAACTGATCCCTTCAGTGTTCTTCCCATGAGAATCCCTAACATGTTTATGCTTACATTCATCTCTCCTGCTCCAATCTGTATGATTTTTCCTGCTCCCTAAATATAACAAAGTAAACCATAATCTCTGGAAATTTTATACCAAAACAATAATTTCATTTCATCATATATAAATGCCTCAAATATTTGACTAAATAATCACTTTGACCTATATTCTTTTTTTTTTCTTTTGAGCATTTTGACCTCCAGCGTTTCATTTTGAGACAAAAAACCTCTCCATTGATGAAAACTGCTAGTTAAAAAACAATCAATGCTCTAAAAATATGGGTCTTTTTGCCCCAAGATAAAGTGTTGGGGTCAAATTACTCGAAAAAATAAATGATAAAATGACTATTCAATCAAACGTAAAATCAAACGTTAAGGGTCAAAATACTCAAAAAATAATAATAAATACCACATTAACTATTTGATCAAACTCATTTTTTGACATTATGCCACATATATAAAGCACCATACTCTTGGGGACAGTCTAAACTATAACTTGTTATTGTAAAGCTAAAAATGCCAGAAATAAGTTATAACTGAAAGTATTTTCGAGAGCATAACTTTTTAGTTTGGGCACGGTCATATTTTAGGTTGAATAAAAATGTTACATTCTGAATAATAATTTTTGTTGTAATCGAAATTATTACAAATTGTATAATTTTTTCAGTTATAAACCTTAAAACCAGCGTAATATAATATTTTCGGTTGCAACCGACAATATCATGAATCCATATAACATTTAGATTGAACATGAAAACATTTGAAACTAAAAATCATCTTAAATTAACGTTAAAGTAATTGCCCCCACACAAAAATCACCTCTCCTCAGACCTAAATTATTGAAGGCACTAATAAAAGAATTATTAAAGGCAATCCACTTGACATAAATAATAAGCGATGTGCAATAGATATGTACCGGTTTTGTGGACTGAATTGCTTCGTTGATGAGGAGTGGAACTCCAGTGCATTCAAAGCTGTAGTCAACGCCCATTCCTAGACTTAATTCTCTCACTAATTCTTGTATAGATTTATCAGATTCATCAGGGTTTATAAAATCCGTCATCCCAAAAGCTCGCCCCTTTGCTTCTTTTCTTGGGTTATTATCTATACCAATTATTCTATTAGCACCTCCACTTTTGGCTCCGTTGATAGCCTGCAAATCAAACAAACGCCATTATTTTATTTATAATGATAAAATAAATTTGGTTCATTGTATATACTTTCATATCTACTTTTTAAGGTAAAGTACATGAATGGTATTAAAAGTCCCTCGACTATAGGGTTGTATTTTATTTAGTCCATCAACTATTAAAAATTATAAACTGATCACCAGACTAGTCACATGTTTCAAACTCGTCATTTTCCGTTAAAAATTGATAGTCCTCTGGGCTAGACCTTAATATGTTGATTAAGATATGATAAAAATTATATTTTAATGATATCTACTGACATAGTCGTTGCTTTCAAATACTGACTCGGTGATATAATGTAAAGGGAGATTTGATCCACAAAATATAGCTCTAACAATTATGTGATTAGATTTTATCATATCTCAGTCAAAAAGTTAACGTCTAGCTCAGACAACTGTCAATTTTTTTAACAAAAAAAGGACGAGTTTAAAATATATGAATAGTAGGATGACTGTTTTGTATCTTTTAATAGTTGGGGACCATACAAAATAGTATCCTATAGTTGGAGGATTATTTTGTAATTTTTAATAGTTAGTAAACTTAACAAAGCAACACCTTGTAGATGAAAGACCTTTGTGTAGTTTACCCTATTTGGTAATCAATCAATTAGGTAGATTAAAAGGGTGAAGTGTGAAAGTGTTTATACCCCTAACCCAACAGCTCCAAGGCCGAAAACAGCAACAGATGAGCCATTTTCAACGTTGGCTTCCTTCCAAGCGGCCCCATATCCAGTTGAAAAACCACATGAAAGGAAGCTAGCATCGGAGAGTGGAACTTGTGGGTCAATCTTGAGAACAAAGTTGACATTGATAACTGTGTATTGGCACCATGTTGAGCATGTAAATGCATGGTAGGCAGTTTGACCTCCTATGGACATCCTCGAAGTGCCGTCCACCATTAACCCATTGTAGCTTAATGGGTATTTTAAGCATAAATTGGTCTTATCCAACATGCAATTATCGCATGTTTTACACTCTCCTATATAGGTTGGAATCACAAGATCTCCTTCTCTTAAGCCACTCACTCCCTCTCCAATGCTCTCTACCACCCTGAAACAATTAATTATACATTTACCAAGATTAATAATGTTCAAAATATTAGTACTTGTAATCAAGATCATAGCACTTGTATATATTATGATTTGGTTGAAACTTTCGTGCTTCAAAATCAATACTGGATCATATATTTTGAATTTTTGAAAGATCTTTTGATTCTTTGAAAGAAAATTTAGAATAATTATCCAAAAAAACAATTAGTCGAAATGACGAACCCGTAACAATCAGTATTGTGTTTATGCTCTCTCACCATTGAATCTTGAATGGTTTACTTGAGTGAGCCCAAGTGATACCCTATTGCCATTAGCAAGAATCCAAATTTAATGGTGAGAGAGCTCATATGATAAGAGATGTACGTAAAATCTTATGTTAAGAGAAGAATTTATAATATTTTCAGATATAATAAATTTATAAAATTCTAAAATCAAATATAAATTATTGATAAAAAATAAAAATCTAAAATCTAAAAATCTAAAATATATAATAATATCAAATTTTCAAAATTATAGATACTCCTACCACCTTCTTCAATCCATTCCTACACATGATTCTAAGAGTTGCTCTTAACATCATCTTCAGATCAAGAGACAAAATCACAAAACAAACAATATTATAATAAACATCACATGCATATATACAATAATACTAGATCGGTTAAGGGCACACAATTCAAAGACTTCTTCCAACTTTTAAATTGATTAATTTAATATCATGTATATATAAGTTTAACATTTTAGAGTGTACCTTAATTTAAGGGTAAAAAAAAGTAGAAAAGAGATATAACTAAAAATATTATAAAAGGTACGATATTTTTTGGCTGGATGTAATTTAAAATATTATTTTTTAATATTTTTGGATTGTATACTTTTTTATAAATTTTCAGTTAAAAATCGAAAATGTTACATTATTTATAATATTTTCAGTATAACCAAAAATATTAAAATATTAAAATTTTAAGTTACACTCAACTAAAAATATTTTATTTTATTATAATATTTTTTCGGTTACATATATTGAATATGGTTCATTAACATTATATTAAATTGTGGTAGCAATAGAACTTCTCATGTGTACAATGAAAACATGTGTAGGTCGAAAAACTTACCCCACTCCTTCATGACCCATTACCCGAGGAAAAGATGGCTGAAAGTACAATAACAATGGCACATCCATTAATCCACTTAATAATTAAAAATTAGTATTCTATAAAAAAATAATTAAAAAATCGTACATTAGAGAAAAGAGAGTAAATAATGCTATGAAATACCCTTGATTTATTTATAACATAAAATTATAAATAAAAGATCTAAAAAAAAAATAAAATATTTTAAAAAATTAAGAGAATAATTGCCTTCACCCGTATCTCAATTTATAGTTAGATTTTGTATTTTTCTCAAACAAAAGCAAATAACAAAAATAAAGAAGAAGAGGAATAGTACTGACGATTGGAAATCCACTGGCAAACAATATATCAGAGTGACAAACACTGGCATATAGCATTTTAAGTCGAACTTCAAATGATGTTGGTGGTTCAACTTGGATCTCTTCCACCTTCAATTCCTCATCTTTTCCCCAACTTACAATTCCTGCAACATTAATTGAGCTTGAGTCAAAACCATTCATTAATATAAAATTATATAATTTTTAAGCAAGAATCTAATGGTTGGTCTTAATGGATAAAAAATGTTGCTCTTTTCTGAGATCTTAAATTTGAGTAAATATATTTGTATGATGTGTAAATCATCAATAATTAATAAAGATTATCAATAGATACTATCTTGTAATCACTCTAAAATATTATTAAAAATTAATAATAATTTTAAGCAAAACATGTAATTTTATGTTATCTGTAAAAGAAATGGAAGTGATACAGAATTACCTTTGCATGTTATGGGTTTGGAGTTTGTCGTCGACATGGTTGGGAGCAGCTTATCAATGGAGTTTTGGTTCTAAGAGAAAGAGATTAGAAAAGTTATTTATAGCCGTGGCTATAGACATACAGATATTTAAATATATAACTAAGCATTTAAATATTCTTTGGCGGTCCATCGACTATAAAGGAAAGTTAATGCTGTTGCGGCCTATCTACCAGCCTCAATTCAAATCATGAAAGTTGTCAAACAAATCAGCCACTATAACTGACCTAAAATTACTATTTTTGGACCTAAAATATTATTTTTCTACAAAAAAAAAAAATAGTAATTTTATTATTTAAAAATTGATTGAAAAAATATCATTTTTGATAGCGACAAATATTAATATTTTGAGTAGAAAAATAATATTTTAGGTAGCGTTTAATATTTATATTTTCGATAAAAAAATAATATTTTAATTAATATTTTACTAAAAACATTAAAAAATAATAACACTTCCGATAACGTTTTTCCTTTAACTATATATTAAAAATGTCAATCTCTAAAATTCGCACTAAACAGGGGTTAAAAACAGCTTTATGTAAAAGCCTAGAACACAATATAATATTGGGTAAACTAATGTTTAGTATCCTAATTATTAAATTTATTTTATTTTAGTCACTCAACAATTTTCTTTTTCAAAATCACATTTAACGTTATATTTTGATCACTTATTATTAAAAATTCAACAAAACATAACATTTTTTTATTTTTTTGTGATATTATTTTATGGTTATTCGTCAGCATCACTGTTAATTTTTCAACACTGAGTGACTAAAATAAAACTAAATTAAACATTAAATATAAATTTAAAAAATAATAAATTAATCAAAACAGAACAAATTATAATTAGAATAATAAACATGTTTACACTATAATATTAATAAAAAAGGCCGCCAGCATTTAGCAGAGTTTTCTACAAGTGATAAATAGTTTATATCGTTTAAGTAATGTCGCGAGTTCGAGTTCTTATATATACATAAAATCCTTATCAAACGAATCACATATTAAAGTTAAATATACGATGCAGATCAGTCTAAATTAGTCAAAAATAAGTTTTAAAAATTGAAGGACAATTCAAAAAAGCCGCCAGCTGCTAGCAAGTAGCAACCAGTATGAATTCGAATTAAATAATGCAGCAATAATATAGAAAATATTGAATTGAAAATGAAAAGTTATTATTATGAATTGAGGTTTCGAATAAATTAATATTATATGTAGTCAAATCGAATTAAACCTGTTCAAATTTGGGTGCGCAGCCAATTTAATCTTGAAAATTTTATATTATATAAATCAAATTAATTGAAAAACTATGATGAAACAAGCCGGTAAATAAATTATGGTAAGCAACAAGATAGTGTGTAATTGTTTATGGTTTACAACGTTTTCCTTAATTTTTATTTCCGAGTGCAATTTAATCTAATCAAATATAGTTGTTTTTTTCTTTTCTTTTCTAAACATTAAAGGTCGTCGTTCTTTACAAGTGGTAATATTAATTTTGGTAGTAGTAGTTTATCGTTTGTATTTTTACTTTTAATAATTATGCATTTATAACACATTTTCATCTGTATTTACGAAATGTTTCGATCGTTCTTATCAGTCGTTTATTTAATTTTTTCAAGGTTGAATTTGAGTCATCTCGACTGATCAAGATGTTGCTTCTTTATTATCATGTTGATATTTCTTGCTTTGGACTATAAGATTGGACTTGGATACGCGGTTCGCGTTCAAAGATAGTTCTATCATGACACTCGATTTTGATTTGTGATTGTCGGTGGTCTTTAAATATTTATCCCTCGTTGTTATTAATTTATCGATATAATCAGATTTATTCGTATTTATCTTTAGAGTTTTTTGGATGTATTTTAACAATTTTCTTTTTGATCCTTGTATGATTTGAGTGATTAGTTTACTACGACAATGATTATAGAAAACAAATTCTAATTATTTGTTTAATTTCCAAAATTTATTGTAATTTTAAATATTCTCTTTTTGATAAAACTAGCTAATCTATTTCCATAAAAATAATCAAATGAATATAATAAAATAATACTATAAAGAAAAAATTTATGATAAAATTATAATAAATGTCATGATAATATGAATGATAAGTAAATATTAAAAATAAAAGAATTTAACAAAATATAAAATAATTAATTTACATATTAAATTAATAATTATTGTAAATAAACAAAGTTGATTAAATTATCAAAAATAAAAGAATGTTTTAAAATAAATTGATAACTATACTATACAATATAATTTGCTAATTGGATGAATGAAATAAAAATTTTAATATATAATTTTGTTAACGTTAATATAACTTTGGATTATTTTATTATAATCAATTTTTTAATTATTGATATTTTTATATTTCGTGTTCTGATATTCTTTACATTTTTATTCTAATATAAAAGTCAATTAGTATAAAGAAACAATTGATATAATGAATTATTTAATTTGAAATATGAAAGGTAGTTAAGTTGTTAAGTAAAATTACGAGAATTCAATTAATAACAAACCAATAATATTTTTATAATTTATTGATAATGCACGTACACCCACTACAACAGAATTGTTCTATAGCGGCATTTTGAGAATAAACGTCACTAACTTTAAACATATAGCAGCGTTTAAATTTCAAACGCCACAAAATGGTAACTTTAGCGGCGTTTGTATAAACGCCGCAATAGGATTCATCTATGGTGGCGTTTTTTCAACAAACGTCGCAATAGAGTAGTACGTTAGCGACGTTTATATACAAATGCCGCAACAGAGTAATACTTTAGCGGCATTTTTATACAAATGTCGTAAGATGGTTCATCTATGGTGGCATTTTTCAACAAATGCCGCAATATAATAGTAGAATATAAAAGTACTTTAGCGGCGTTTATATACAAACGCCGCAATAAGGTTCATATATAGTGGTGTTTTTTCAACAAAAAAAATGTCGCAACAGAGTAGTACTTTAGTGGCGTTTTATACAAACGCCACAATAGTTTAGTATGTTTGTGGTGTTTGGTTTAAAAACGCTGCAAATTTTAACAATAACCTTATTTGATTTCTATTTAACGTAAAAAGTTTAGAAAACCCTAAAAATTTAAAACCCTTTTTTTAAGCTATCCCCTCCTCATTCTCTACACTGTCGCTTCTCTCTTAGAGACCAAAACCCCACGTGGCCGTGAATCCCTTGAAGGCTCCGGGCCTTCTATTTTTTCTCTTTAGAAGGCGGCAAGAAATATTTTCCTTCAATCTCAGGCTCCTCCTCCTCCTCCCCCGCTGCCGGAAGTTGCCCCAAATGCTACGGGAGGGAAAGCTTGGAGCTTTCTCAAGTACAGCCTCATCGCGGCTATTACAGGAACTGTTGACTATGCTGGTTATCTCTCTTACAGTAAGTTTTTTTTCCTTTTTTGATTAAGATTAGGTCATTTGTGTTTTAATTTATATTACAGTTTAAATGTGCGTTTTTAATATGATTAAAATTGTATATATTTTTTAAAAAATTTAATTCGTTTTGCAGAGTGTTCGTACGATGAAGTAGATCAGAAGGCAAAGGCATTGCGGGCTGCTGCAAGTTTTGCTCCTAGTGAAGATGCATATGCTGTTGATGTATGTTTGAGTTTGTTTGGAATTTTATTTATTTTAAATGAATTTTCTCATTTTAGCTTAGTATTTGAATAATGCTGTGTACAAATTGTTTAATTTATATAACTGCTATACATATAATTTGATTCTTATTTATATGCGATTGATTTTCTCTGCATTTCCATTTAATTAGTTATAAAATCTTGCTAAAATTTCTTTTCAATCTGTAGGAAAATATTTTATCTACTACATTTGTAATAATCACATAAAAGCCATCCATCATTGTGTCCCATAGGTCATTTCCCGTATGATCGGTGGCTTTCATGCGGTGAGTACATCAATATCAGTCATACCAGACTGTGTATTAGTGTATTCATGCATATGAATGGATATATGTGGCACTTCTACTAAGTCCTAGTAATTTGATATAATCATTGTTTTGTTGCTTCTATGAATGAATCAGCTGTTTTCTATCTTGTTTTTCAAAAATATCGAGGCTTAATTTTTGAGAATTACTTTTTCAATTAAATGGTTCTTGGTGTCTTGGAGAATTTCTCATTGAAATTCCAAACTATAGACTTGATGACATTCATGTATGCAATTGCACAAAATTAAAGTTCATGTATAGCATTGCACATTTGACCAAAGTACATGTGTAGTTTTGCTATTTATCCATCTTCACAACCTGTATCACATTTATATTCTCTCTATGATATTGCTGCTCAATAGTCTTTAACCCATTTATTCAAGAACTGATATAACGGTGCTAAGTTCCTTAATATGCCTTTTCATTTCTAGTAGATTGTTTCTTGGTTCAAACTTCATGTACTATGCGTTCATGAAAGTGTTATTCTGCTCTTCGCTCCTTAGGAAGTCACGTGTACTAGTTCTCATGTAATAGATTGAGGAACTCGAACTAGTTTACAAAAAGATAGAGTAAGAGAAATTATCGTCAGAATTTCCACGTGGCGTATTTGCTCTGACGATGGATCAAATTATCGTTGGGAGGCATTCGGTCAATTCTTGTCGTCGAAACTCGATGATGACCCGAAAAGAACTCCTATTGCTCCATACCCTTCTATGGCCGATCTCCTAATTCAAGGTAACAATCTCTGAATCTTTCCGCCGTTATATTTTTATTTTGTACTCTCAAATTTTATAGATCGTATGCATACAGATTGTAATGCCCCAAAAATTAATTTAAGGACTAAATCAAAATGATTTAAAATATGAGGATTAATTAAATTAAATAATGAAAGATGAGGATGAATAAGATTTATGGTTTAGACTAAATTGTAAGAAAGGATGATTAAAGGGATATTTTGGTCATTTGGATTAAATTGAATTTAATATTCAATTTAATGGGATTAGGATAAGAGATAAGATGAAGAGGGGAATAGGAAGTCAACCCTTTCTTTCATCTTTTTCTCTTCTTGCCGTGGAAAACTCTTCCTTTCAGCTCAAAAGTAAGTTTTCAGTTTAATGGTTATTT